GGGGGAAGAGGGCCCTCCCCTGAACATTAGGGTACGCCGCCCACTTCGGCGCCCAAAAACAGCGGGTAGGGGCCCCAGTTATGGGGATTGTCTGGGGGTTGGTTAGGAATGGATCCTGCAAATCTGGAGAATCCCTCCCCTTGAGGAAGGGTTTGTGCGTTTCCCTTTGCTTCACCTCTGACCCCTGTGATCCGCAACATGGAGTCAGGATAGGCTCATTGAACCGTGGAGCGGCACTCGATCCAGTAGTTGCAACGGGCCCAACCCGGGTGTCCTGTAGGTACCCTTTAACAGCAATTCGTGGAACTGCCGATTTCACTGTGTACCGTGACCTAAGCTTTTGGGTACTTTCGGGATTATTCTTCTCAAACAAATTGGGAGAACCATGACCTCATTGCTGATCGAATTTCCCTTCAAAGAGCCAGACAATATTAACTGGAAATAAGACCGGGATTCAGAATTGTTGCCACACCCAGTCTAACGAGACAAGCGAGCACCAACTCATTCGTTCCAAGCAGGCAGACGGGAGAGGGCTTGAGAGGTTGAGCATCCCATGTGTCCCTCATGCTACGTGCCCAGAGCATTGTGATAAAATGCGATTGTTCCCAGCGTTGCATCGCAATGAAACATGACGGAGTGGTGTGTGAAGTAACTCATCTAGCATTGCTGACTTCGCGCGCCACGACTAAACTATCCCTGCCCCGCACCCGTTTGATCCTCTGTTGATTGGCCTTGTGGTCGGGATCCTCGTCAAATCTGTTGAATAAGTAGCCGAAACATGGAAACATGGAACAGAGACTAACAAGCCGCAAGCGTCACGCCGACTGAATCATCAATAGGATGGCTAATTTAGTCTCCAAATAACCCGGCGCTGATCAATGGATGTTACATTTTCTTTTTTCTTTTTTCTTTTTCTTTTTCCTTTCTTTTGTTGTGCTTTTTTAAACGAGGCTATTTTCCCGAACACTGTTCAGTGCCCAAGGCATGGGGAGAAGAAAAGGACGTGCAATTTCGTAAAAATCCCCATCTGGGATCGTTCTGAGAATTTCAAAGGCCCGGTGCGGAATACCCGTTTATACTTTGAAAAATAATGTTGAAAACACTTCCAGGAATGACTGTCACTGGGTGAATTTCTTTGTTCTTGGGCTGGTGAGACCATTTCCAACCTTGACTTTATTTTTGCATGTGGGGAGCCAATTAAATTCGCCCATCAGCCGAATCAAACGGTTGAACACTTCTGGATCAGATAAGCCTGCAAATGAAGACCAACCCCAAGTGCCGAAATGCGCCAAGTCGCCGGAAAGTAATTTGAAACTTCCAGTGGGGCGTGGTGATATGCACACGAGCATTTCGCATGGGCTTCCTGGAGTCGCCCCAGCCTGTGTGGTCAAACAGCCCAGTCCTCCCGTTGCTTTCACCTGCTTCTGTCAACATTCCAGAATCTGCCAACCTGGTACGTTACCATGGATTCCACAATTTTTATTACTGCATAAATTGCATGACTTGCCGATACACCCACCAAGCGTCCAACCAAGCAGCACTGGAAGGGAACATTGAATGATTGGAAGAAATCCTTTATAGAAATGCGTCGGTTCTCAAACGAAGGCGCCTCTGTGAGCGTCGGCCATGAAGGCTTGGCAGAAATATTAACGAGGAACAAACTGGGTCTGCGCTTGTAACCCTTTCTTCTGTCCACCCTCCCGAACGCATCGTTGATGCCTATACTATTGTCGACTAGAAGAAGTAGAAGCGCGAAGGCAATTGATCTTGCGGGCGGGGAGCAGCTTCTACTTCAAAACTGGAAAATTTCATCCTCCTCTTTGCCGGGACATGGTGGACATACAATAGCGTTCAAAAATGTTCCTATTTTTGTGAAGCCAACTGCACCCATCCCAAGGAACCCAATGTCCCAAACCAGTACCGTCGAAGTCGATAATAATGAGATACGGAATTCAGCCCAGAGAGCTCCATATTTCCCCCCACCCCCCCCCCCCCCCCCCCCCTCTCCCCCGCGTCCCCCGGTTCCCTGGTCTCCACTTTACTTGTTTCATGACGTTTATTTGATAGAGTTTCGAATTAGGGGTTTCTTTTCCTTCTGTTGTTCAGGGAAGACAGGGATCAGGAAAATGACTTGCATAATGATGGAATCTTCAAGTGCTGATCATGGAAACGTTAGCGTCAAGGAATTCCAGCCCAGAACGACTTAGATTTGCTTTTTCCTTTTTCTTTTCGTTCTTTTCTTTTCTTTTAAATCAACTAATTAATTTATGACACTGAAATCGTTTATGAGCTATAGGCTACGCCGCATTCCGATAAGACCTGGTGTCAAACCAACACCGGAGAATATAACTTCCTATGATATCGGAATATGGAGTTCCGGTCACATTGAGCAATAACGTCACGAACCATCCAACAGAATCGGGACCCGAGCTTTTAAACCATGGTGTGTTTTCGAAGGTTGAGGCTGACAAGAACCACGGGCTTCAGTATCCCTGAAGTTATTCACCTGCCCCCATGGGCACTGTAACTTGACAGGCATGGCGCATTCGCTAACTTCCCAGGGTCTACATTTTTAGTGTTGAACAATTCCCTGAGGCCTCTCCAATCGCACGTACAGCTTATGATTTCATTTTGCTCACTTTCCAACCAACCGAGGGGAACTCTTGACCCCCAAACTGTGACTCCGAGAAACCCACTTCACCTCATCATTGGCAAGCAAATTTGCTCTGTCAAGACCTGGATTATCATCGAAATGGCGTTGTCTCAAGCCATAGTAGTACCCGGAAGAGCTCGGGTAGGAAAGTATGTTCCCGTCTGCGGCTCACGCACTCATTGGATCGAGCGAATATATCACAATTTGCTTAAAGCTGCAGCAAAGCTTTGACATCTTCCCACAGCCAAGCTATATGTCAAATTTTTAGCAAAAATTTCCCGGCAAAAAGAGAAACGTCGGGATAATCCATAGTCTGGTGCAAATATACAGGGACAGTACATAATCGTAAAAAAGGGGTCTGAGAATGAACTGGCTTGGAGTGCAGTTCATTCAACTCATGATTCTTCACCATATAGAGCTTCAGAGCTTATAGCATGAGAGAGGAAAACAAGCAATTCAATAGCCCACAGACTGGCAGCGACCTATGTCGCTCTCAGTCCACTTCTTCAAGGATACAAAAATAGAACAGTGCTGACTGCATTCTATGAAGCTCTCCTGGTTCTAGAGGCTGGGTCTTTCGGTTAAGCACCCTTCTTAATCTTTTACTTTTCCTGCCTCCCTGCAGCCCTTATATCTCGTTGGTTTTCCAATACGTGATAACACTCTTCATCAACTGGAGACCCTACAAGGAAAGGACAGGTGTCATTTTCGTTGCTGCTCTCCGAAGCACACGTTTCCAACAATCTGTGGTGCGAGTCAGAGGACGAAACAGTGATGCATCACAAGCGTGCAATCATGTAGCTGCAGCCGAGAAGGAGCATGATCGACCTGTTCTGTTACCTGCAAATTCATCCCACAGACATTCGGACATTATCGCTAATTGCCATCCACATTTGTATATCCAACCCATGTAACCCCAAGGGATCCAACTTGGGCCAACCTCTGCAGGCAAAGGAAGCAAGTCTGGATCGGATCAGAAGCAACATGGCAGGGATTGAAATAATGAGCCATCTTGTCGTATAATTGTTTTATTCTTATCATTTCTTATGCTCTTATTTCCACAATATTCAGCCTCTCTATCGTATATGATTTCGTCATCACTCTATCTTTCCCCTGATCCTTTTCTTCGGGGGTTCCTTGGTCAGTGGATTGTTGGCCTTGAAGTTTCTTGAAGTTCTTGGCTTCATATTCGGAACAACCTAACCATCCCTGACTTCCCGCTGATTCCTTGTCCGACGCTAGACAGGGATAGGCCCTGAATAGCAGCTTTGATGCTGCAAAGGCCATCAGAGACAATGTCGGCTGCAACCTGCAAGTGACGCATTCCCACTTTGGCTCTGTCAAAGCCCTCGATTCGTCGGATATCCAGTCTATCTGGGTCAGAGCTGAGTATGGCGACATATCCTCAAATATTATGTGTGAATCATCAAAAAGGAAAACCGAGGCAAGTATGACATCGTTTCTTCTACATCTTTTGAGGGAAAGTTGAGATCGTTCTGTTTCTGCAACTGCAGATGGCCTCTCATTTGCGAAGAATAATCTTGGTGCTTCCTTGAACCAAGGACATAAAGTGCGTCGTCTCTTCTTTGGTTATCCTTGGAGAGGTCTTGAAATTTCCTGTCTAAAATTTCTTCACATCACAGCATAACCATCATTTTATGGAAACCCTATTATCAGTTTCTACTCCGTATCTACCTATCATACGTATATCAGCTACATCCATGGGATGTATCTGTACTTCGGAAAGTAAGAAACTCCTTTGCCTTTCCGATATCAACTGAGTATTTTTTTTTTCCCCCTTCCAGACAGCTATTATCTATTTACTTCTTACATGTTATCAAAGTGGAGGCCGTCTAATTTCGTCTCTCTAACATGCATTAAAAAGGCGATGAAGAAGTGTGCTATATGGAGAAGATCGCACAGGTCTAACGCTTCCCCCCGTGCATATGAGCATGATAGTACGTATTCTACTTGCTGTGCGATGTTGCGAATAATGTTTATCTTGGATACCTCTATCAAGATACATGCCAAATGTACATACTCAAACAATCTGAAGTCAATTACTTAATAAAATTTGCTACATGTATCATTCGCACGTGTACATCTGCAGCATACCTGAGAATTCGTTTCTTCTCATTTACCGTATAGTTGATCCTCATATATGCTGCTGATCCATCATACAACGCTCTTCTTTGCCGAGGCCCGTCGCGAACGTACAGAACGAAGTTACACATGCTCATTTACATTGCATCCATGGATACAATCATGGGTGTAAAGAATCTCATTTTACAGTTATGACTGTTAGTGAATGTCTTCTTGCGTTTCTCAGCGTAATGAAAGCATATACAGGTGCGCGCATGATATGTAATCTTACGAATCAAATCCATAAGCCAGTCAACTTCTCAGTGGACTCGGAAATAACTTCTTTCGACATTGGCCTTTTGAAAACATACTCAGCCAGGCACGTTGAAAATTTCACGTTGGCATCTTCACAGATAGTGACATGGGCTTTTTCGCAGTTAAAATGTCCACCCTTGTTTCCACGTGAATCCCTTGAGGATTCCCGCTTGCTAGCATTAGCACATTGGAGCCTGGACGCATATCGCTCCCATGGACCTCTAGTCTATGAGGAATGAAATGGATATCAACCTTGCAACTTGTAAAACAATCTCTTCACTATTCAAAGGATATCTATATCTGAGTGTGATGCGATTTCTCCGTTATTTCTACGTTGGCACGAAGAGCAGAGTGAGAATGGAGTAACTTTTCATGTATTGTTTTGAACTTCAGTGACATGGTAGCTTTCAACTCAGGCCTATGGTTGCCAAACTAGCGAGTTCCCATTGGGTGAAATAGAAGCCATATAGTTTTAGAATGGCTTTGCTCCTTGATACCAGATCGACGACCGGCTTTCTGAGGCTTTTAACTTTGGTACAAGAAGCGTTGATCTGCGGGTATATGAAGAAAGAATAAAATGCTGGATTATTGATTTGTTAAGCTAACTACCCCTGCTTCCAATAATTCCTTAGACTCGGAGAAAATTTTAACAGAATCTATAAACGGCGTCTGCTATTAAGTTTTTTTGTGTGCGTGCAACATCCAGCATCTTTAGTTAGTTATCCCATTCTTAACATGTCAGCGATACTTACACATTTGTAGTTAAAAGGATAGCGATTACCTTTTCCGCCAGAGGGAAGCCTACAAATGAAAAATAAATCATTTCATTATTAGCTACACAGTTGCTACTTTGCAATTTCATTTCCGAAAATGAGATACTTCAGAGGCTCCAGTCAGATGATCATACACGGATTGCATTGAAACAAGCATCCTAAACGCCATGGCGGATTATCAAATATCATTCCATTCATTCATTGGATAGAGCTGGCCGTTTCAAGGCATAGATGATTACGTGATGAGCCCTTAGAACTTTGCTCCCGGCCTTATATTTATTATCTACTAGGAACCGCACTTCTTCGAACTCCAGATGTAGATTCGACGCGGAGTCTCAATAACCTATACCCGTTCCTTTAAGCAGTGGCAGATCCAAACCCAAACATCAGCTTATCCTCACCTTCGACATGCCTGATATGCACAAAGAGGGGTTCAACCTGGGTAAGGGGAATCCTGTCCTTGTTGTTTGTTTCTCTGATCTATGAGCCCGGCCCAGACATCCGTCGATGTGGCTTATTGTACAAGGGTAGTTATCATGGAAGTATTACACACCAAGATCCTCAGATCAAACAGTTTCACACTACGAGGTTATGTGGAGGCTTGCCCAGAGCGTCTGGAAAAAAAGCGTCGTTGATATAAACACCAGAGGCAGATTCGATCGAAGATAGAATAGGAAAATCGAAAAACTAGAGAGGAAAAACAGAGAACAGCCATGTCCAACACTGAATGGTCTGGTTGATTTGTTCCGAATGTCTTTTTTCGGGTGCATTTAAATCTGACCCCCCAGGCTCGGCCGCTGCTCTGCAGTTCGGAAACGAAAGGGGCAATGGCTGGAAGGGGATCAACGATACGGACAGTAACTATTAGAACCACACTGCAGGCCCAGAAAAGACAATTTCAGGATCCCATACTACTCCTATCCTCAATTTTGAGTGTCAAAAAAAAAAATATATCCCAGACAGTCTTACATTTGTCGCCGTGGATGCTTACCCCTAGAATATCTGGATAGGGTCCTTTTTGAACCTTTGGTAATATCTATACCGGACACGGACAAGAAAATATGGCCCCGTGCGATGATTTGCTGGCTGTTCGGGAGGCGCGATTTTTATTCTGACAGAGGGTAGCATTGCATGGGAAAAACTGGAATATTTTTATGGGGACTTGAGCTACAGCTGTCGGTGAAAGTGGTTTGAATCACAGCGCCGCTACCAGCTTCCTCTTAGAACTCCCTCAGAGCTTAAATACCGTTGATGAGCGGGATAAGTCCACATCAGCTTGAGGACGACGACGACACACACCGAAGTCGATTGGTTAGTCGAAATGGAATATCCTAGATATGAGCTTGAAGTTTCAGTTTTATTTGTGATAGATGGGTTTATTTCACCTGGGCGGACCAACATGCGCTGACGAGCCTTGATTGACCGGGTTTAATTCCCTGAGGCTCATTTTTACTTCTCTGTCATTCAATGTTTAGTTTAGGAGATATAACCCTCTTCCCAAATTTTAACTCAAACAAGGTGTAAACACCTGTTAACATTCAGTACTGACTCAGCCTTCAGATAAAACCCGAGATACTTATCCTTCAGATTCCGCTAAAGACAATAGATCTGAAAGTGGTCGATTCCGATCGAGATACTCCACACCAAATGCTGGTCTAGTTGGTTCAACCTCTGAACGACTTCCGCCAAGTGTCATATTTTGCAAGTAATGTGGAGATATTTCGATACTCTTTCTGTGTGGCGAGGTTAAGAAGCAGATGAGGCATTCATTGTCTTACGCAAATATGCATGAAGCATTTAATAGCGAATACAACCGTTGGGGATGGAAGCACTTGCACTCTGTACCGCACAACTTCGGACTTTTTGTGTTTATTTGCATTCAGATCGTCATGAATGTAGTGCTACTCGAACTTTGTAGGCTCACATAATCTAAATACGTACATGACTGTATCGGCAATGGAGTTGTACAGAGAGGTAACAATAATTTCTGCAAAACAGACTCATGAAGCTTAGTTCTATCCTTTACTCTGCAAGTTGCCATAAAATTTCAGCATCGATAATGTTTCCCTCCACTCTTCATTTCCCACAAATCTCACCATCTGATAGTTTTCTCCTCTCTCCTTTAAAGCTAAGCTCTTTTTTAAAGATATAGAGAGCTCTTAATTTCCACGGAGTGTGACACATTTCCCACGTGAATGAATGACAGCCTCACGCCCATATCCTCCTCAAAAATGAGAGGAAAAACTGAACGGAGATATCATGTATTGAATATGACATCTTGGCAGTATGGTTACTTTGACCATTCGGCAAAATAACTACACTTGTCTAACCGCTGGAAAACCCTCTCAGCCGAATACCCAGCTTCCATGTCCAAAGATTTCTCCCTTGGTGTGTCAACAAGAAAAGGGACAGGGTGCACATGTCAAGTCAGCGCCACTGCACAAAGCCCTGTGTGCAGACGGTTTAGAATAAACAATTGACATATGGAGGAACTCGCTTCCAGAAATCGCGATCCAAGAATCCAACAAGGCCCAGATGTTTGTTAATGAGTGGAATGTTCATCAGAGTCGGGAGCTAGGGAGCTAGGTCAAAACTTAAAAGTTAGGTTACATGACAGGCGTAGTGGTTTGTTTTGAGAAAATGCGTGATCAAACATTTAGTTAGGAGGCCAGATACTGGTATCCCTTAAATAGTGATATAATCGAGAAACTGAAAGTGCTGGGTTGTTGGACCGCGAATATGGTAGACGGGAATTTTGTGGATCGCAAAGGAAGGTAGGAAGGCACCTTATCATCTGGACATTCTTATTTTGCTCGCGCTGCTGTGGATTCCCGAGCAGAAGAGCCAGGGGAGGGGAGCGATTGTAACGGTTGATAGTCTATGGTTGACTAGGTCCTGCATGTGTGAGAACTAGTCGACTAGACCGCTCTTTATGCCCTGGGGGTAACATCGCAGATGACGGAGGGAAACAACCAGCTAAAACCTGAAGCTAGATTCTGGTGATTAATGTCGGAAGAAAGAAACAAGATCACAAAAATATCACGCATGATCTGTGGGTTGGCTAATTAATGGGTTTCAATCTTTGTCAGAGGACTAGAAAATAAAGCTAGATTTGGAATTTATGGGAATGGGAACAGAAAACCATTGGCAAATGGTACAAGCTTAAGTGAGTTCTGTTTGGTGGCTCACTGGCCAAAGGAGCGGAGATGTGGGTTTGAGATTTCTGGTCAAGTTGCTTATCCTGCCTCCTCCTTACTTAAATCAGTAGTGAAGGGTTAAAAAAAAAATTGCACATGCAGAAGATATATGATGAACTAACCTTGCATGTTCTCCAATCTCCGAACGAGTCTAGCTCGCTTTTGGCATCTCTTAACTCACATGCTTGTGACACAATTGTTGGGTTGCTGTTTGGAAAGCGGGTATATTTCTGATCACAAAATATCACGGGTCGTGGAGTTTGTCTCATAGGTTTGATAAAAAGGTCTTTGTTCTGTAGGTACGTCTCCCCGCTCTCGAAGTCCGCGCTTCACGTCGTCAATATAGGAAGCTGGATAACTACAGTGAGGTAGAAGACGGACTCAAAGGAATCTGATCGGGAGATCAGACTTGGAGAAGAAATCCATCAAATGCAGTCGCTCTGACTTTAGCGTACCTCTGGCAACATGGACAGGAATCTTGATATAAATATTGAAAGGATTTCTTACAGAACACCTCATTAATAATAGATTGAATTGGTCCGGGACTCCTTCATGATGCCATTCATCTATCAGCTGCTTAATGTGAATTCCCATTTCAATCAAATAGTGGAACTGACAGCAGTATTTGTTCCACGAGGAGAGACGATTTGGAAAATAAAAAGATATCAATAGAACATTGGCCAAAATTTTAAAGGAACAGATATAACTTTTGAAATGTAGTATATAAACGATTAAATTCATATCAAAGGACAACATTTAGGGGAGGTAGGGTAACAACGTGCAGTAGAATTGCACGGCCTGTCTCTCCTTATAGATTCAGAAGTAACTAGATTTTGGCCAATTTGGTAGGATATCCAAAACTCTGTATAATTTTATGTATCTGGCCTCCATGTGATTTTCGATGATAGAGTTCCGCAAGAAGTCCGAAGGTAAAGAAAGACCATTGGCACAGCTTCATGACCGTGAAGCACGAGTCTTACGTGATTCAGAAGAGTGGGAACCAGGAGGCGAGCGACGCCTTACATCAGGGGGAGGTTCAAGAGCAAGACGAGATTTCCGGTCTTCCTCGTCAGGTTCATCATCGTCCCGACGTTTACGATGATCGCGGCGATATGACTCGTACCTAGCTGCTATAGTAATTGTAAGTACGAGGATAATCATTAATCAGAATGCAAAGAATTAACCTACCTCTAATATCTGCCGTATTTCTAGCGAAGTCCTCAATCTCTGCTTTTGTCAGGACTCTTAATATTATCACATAATCAGGGCGTTCTTCGTAACGTTCGCCTTGTAGCGCTGCCGGACTGACAAGTTTTCGATCAACTTTGGTCCAACGTGCGCCTTGGGGAATACCTTTTTTGGTTGCATCTTTCAAAGGAGCAACCCCTTCTCTCACAGCTGTGCGATCTTCAGGAAACTTTTCCCTCGGAGGTTTGAGGATACTTTTGGGGGGAACTTCGGGTTCCTTGGGTCGAGCTAATTCAGTATGATACGATTTCCTTTGATCAGGGATATCGGCGGGGGTTGAAACGAGAGGGTTATTTGTGAGGAGCTTATCAGAGTGTCGCTGGGAGGACACATCGTGTCTCCTGGAGTCGGAGCTCTTGTTTTCATAGCCTTTGATATGGTATGTGTGGCGTCTTTCAACACTTTCTTCCAAGTTGACCCGTCCTGGATGTCCTTTTGTGCGATATCTGAGACTTCGAGTTTCTATTTCCGAGAGTTCATCATCTGTTTTTCTTTCGGATTGCTCTTTCCTCCTCTGTCTTGCCCTAGCAACACGACCCGGATCCCGAGTTTTCCGTCCATCTAGCGATGCACTTCGGTCACTTTCGTACCCTCTACTTCGATATCCTTCAGAATAGCCGCTGGCTAAACCGGCTGTAGCAAGCCCACCAGGCATTGATATGTCCCGTGTGCTTCTGACATTAGGGTCTATTTTGGGGATTTGTCCATATCGCGCGTCTTCTCT